CTCTTTCTTCACTGGTATGCTGGCCATCTGCACCCGCGTTGCCAGCTACCTCTCCGGTTTCCTGGCTTGGATCGCTCTGACTTTCCAGATCATCACGACCTGCCTCATGACGTATGTACCTCTATCATTGGAAATAGAGCTGTCTCAGGAATAAACTGCTAACTGTATTTCATAGTGCTGTCTTTGTCCAGGGCCGCCACGCGTTCCAGAGTAACGGCCAGAGCTCACACCTGGGTGTCAAGGCATTCGCCTTCATGTGGACCGCATCTGTCTGTTTGTTCCTTTCATGCTTGTTGTACTGCCTTGGCGGTGCTGTCGGCCGGAAAGATACTAGCAGTGGGTACAGTGGACGCAAGGAACGCCGCCGTGGTTTCTTCTCCTCGCAGCGCTCAAACAGCGTGAAAAGCCAGAAGCAGGAGGCCACGAACTACGCTTAAGTTGGCTGTACCCCAGCCACGAGAAGCCTGCTTCCTTATTTCGACAAGAACAAGCCGGAGCATCTGAAAATGTCGACTTGAAATGTCAATCTCCGGACCATCCCACACACGACCTTGTCTTCCTGCGTTGATATCCCCTTTGAGAGTTTATTCTTTCTTCAGGATGCCGCTTGTTTCACTTTGATCTTTGACAAGCTGCATCTGAATAAACGGATGCAGCTTGAAACATCGAACTACCCACACTCGCTTGATGCTATTACGAAAGCGCCACGATCTTTACTGACCTAATAAATCTACGGCCTTGCTGCATAAGGTGGCAATTGAGCATTCTTCGCGCAACACTCTCCATGCCTTGGGTCCGGTTATGTTTAGAAGGCACGCGAGTCTTTGATGATTTGTTGATGAAGCGCATGGTTCAATGATTCTCCGATTTGAAGATCATGCAGAGATTTGTGCTTTTAGTTGCGAACCTATCTAATCTAGTTGTAATATAACTTCTACTACCGTCACTTGATCCTTGGAATGTAAACTGTATACAGTCATATCTCGGATTCACGAGTAGCCATGCTTTGGAGCAAAACCAGGATTCTTAGTGAATAGTCCTCTCGGAGCGTAGGAGAACCGTGGTTTAATACGCCATCAAATTTAAGGGGCTTAGTAGGGTGAAGTTGCTGGAAAAGAGAACCAGTATCGATTGGTTGCATATAACTGAGTCTATTTAAGAACTAATAAAGGGAAAGACTCCATGACGATAACTGCAGTATAAATCGTGGACAAAAAGAAAAATCACAACCTCTATCAGTCATGCATGCATCATCACACCATAAACGAAATCCAAGTTTTTTTATTTTTATTTCACAAAGGAAAGAAAAACTTAAGCGGAGCCGTTGACGGCACCACGGACAGCGTTCTGGGAGCCGACCTCGCGGACGGCGATCTGCAGACCAAGATCGGGGTTGACGTGGACCATGACCTCGATCTTGCTGCCAGCCTTGACGCCCTTGACGGCGAGCTCAGCAACAACCTTCTCGGTCTTCCAGACAATCTCGCGGGTCTCCTCTTCCTCCTCATCCTCGGAATCGAAGTCAGAGTCATCCTCATCCTGGGCAGGCTTGTCCTCCTTGGCCTTGGGCTCGGGCTTGGTGACCTTGATCTCGCGGGAACCCTCGCACACGCGGACCAGGACATCACCACCCTCCTTGGGGGAGAAGTACTGAGCGATGCGGCGTGCGGGGAGGGCAGTCTCAGCGCTGAGGAGGGGCTGGAAGGTGGTCTCGGTCTCGGAGGTGAACTCAACGCCAATGGCCTTGGTCAGGTGAGGGGCGACGGTGACCATAGGGTGGATGGACTGCTCGATGTCCTCGTGCTCGAACTCCTGGACCAGGGAAGCCTGGAAGGCGGCACCACGGGCAGACAGCTCGGAGGGGTTAACGGCGGTGATAGAGGTGGCGGGAGCCAGGATCTTGGTCTTCTCGGGGAAGATGTTGCTGGTCAGGCTGGCGAGCTTGGGGGTGTGGGAAACACCACCAGAGAAGATAACCTCATCGATATCAAGGACATCAAGCTCGGCCTTCTTAACAACCTGCTGGATCAGAGCAGTGAACTGGCTGAAGACCTTGCCGGCGAGAAGCTCGAAACGGGTGCGGTTAACGGTGGAACCGTAGTCAACACCGTCGACGAGGGACTCGATGCTCAGCTGAGCGTTGCTGCTCAGGCTGAGGGCCTTGCGGGTGGCCTCACACTCGAGCTTCAACTTGGCCAGACCACGAGCGTTCTCGCGGGGGTCGGTCTTGTGCTTCTTCATGAACTCCTTGGCGAAGTGATCAATGATGATCTGATCCAGGGAGGCACCACCAAGGTCGTAGTCGTGGGCAGTGGCCAAGATAGTGTACATGCCACCGCGGGAGGCAACAACGGCAACATCGGAGCGGGTACCACCGAAGTCGGCAACGACAACCAGCTTGTCGGTAACAGTCGCCTCGGGGCGGGCATCGTAAGCCATGACAGCGGCAACGGGCTCGTGGATCAGCTGGAGAACGTCGAGACCAGCAGCCTTGGCAGAGGCAACAAGGGCCTCGCGCTGGGCATCGGTGAAATCGGTGGGGATGGTGATAACGGCAGCGTTGACATCCTTACCGAGATAGTCAGAGGCAGAGCGTCTCAGACGCTGGAAGTGACGGGTGGTGATCTCAGAAACAGTGACGGTGTTGGGGGTCTCGCTCTCGGTGTCGCGGATGGTGAAAGCGACAGTCGAGTCCTGCTGCTGGGGGTGGGCGGATTGGTGGCAGGGAGTAGGGTCGATCGACTTGAATTCCTTGCCGAGGAAATCGCGGAAGTATGCGACAGTGTTGGCCGAGTTGCGAACAAGCTGAGCCTTGGCTTGTGTGCCGTGGTACTCCTCGCCGTCGATGTAAGAAAGGATGGAAGGAATTTGACGATCTGAGTAGGTTAATTCAAGTTCTCAAATCGTTGGGTTTCATTGTCCTCACCTCCTTCCTCGTTGGCAATAACCTCAGCCTTGCCCTCCTATAAATTTGTCAGTCATTGTTGTTTGACCCAGAGAATCAATATCAAGACATACAGGCGAGATGCGGGCAATTGAACTGCATGAGTTACCAAACGAGATACCGATAGCAAAGCGCTCCGCCTCAGCGGGGGCACTGTTGGCAGCGTCACCCATGTCGAAGTTGTAAATATGTACTTTTTTTGGATTAAAAGAATAAGGATCTCACGTTACGGCGTGAAAGTAGATTCGGGGGTATCGGAGGTAACTGGTGGAAATCTCGATTGAGGGGGAACGACCGAAAAAGATTTTGAAGATTTTCGTCTGCCGCAAATGTGGCTAGTGCTTATCGATAGTGGTTGTGGCGATGTCGATAAGGCACCACCACTCTTGACATCTTCATATGAGGACAGCCCTTTTTCCTTGACGAATATAGCGCTTTAACTTTCAAAAAGGCTAGGCATAAGTGATCAACCTATATTGGCAGCTCTGGGAACTCAAGTTATTCATATTTCCAAGGTCGGTCCCAAGTGTTAAGTGTTAGGATGGAGCTCAGTCAAGTACATTCAATGAGATCACGTGGCGATAAGAATTATCGTTTTCTTTTGCAGAATCAATGCGCAAAAGCAGACAGCATTGAACCTCTTCCTTCAGAGTCTTCTACACTTGGACTATCCTCAGAATAAAGTCTATCCCCTCTGGCATCATGGGTGCCCCGCTTGTTCTATTACCTAGCGACGAGGTACCTCAAGATCATCTTCCTACCAACAACTCCAACCCTCTACGACTAGGCCCCGGCCTCCGCATCCTATCACAGCCCTCTTCAAAGGGGTCCAATCATGTGTTAACAGCAACACAAGCTGGTCTGTTGACGACCGATGCGAAACGCAACACCGTCTCGCTTCTTTCTTTCCCGAACCGCCGATACATTCCTACAGTCAACGACTTCGTCATTGCTCAGATCCACCATTCCAGTGTTGATTTCTTCCACTGCATGGTAACCCCACACACGGCCCACGCGCTTCTGGGTCAGCTGTCCTTTGAGGGCGCATCCAAGAAGACAAGGCCAATGTTGAAGCAAGGCGAGCTGGTGTATGCCCGAGTACAGTCTGTGGGAGTCGGCGCCGGCGCTGAAGTTGAACTCACCTGTGTCAACCCAGCAACTGGCAAGGCCGACGGAGGATTGGGACCCTTGGCAGGTGGAATGGTATTTGATGTTTCTACGGGTATGGCGGCCCGGTTGATTCGGGCAAGCTCTTCTTCTGCTGAGAACACAGATGCAATTGAAGGGTTGGTTGTTCTTTCTGAACTTGGCAAGAAGCTGGAGAGCTTGGGAGGATTTGAGATTGCAGTTGGCCGCAATGGAAAGGTGTGGGTGGACTGCTCTAATGCCGCAGAAAGTGCTGTCAAGGTTACCATCGCAATTGGGCGCTGTCTACAGGAGACAGATCAGCAAAATCTTCACACTCATGACCAAAAGAAACTAGTGACGAAAATCCTCAGGGATATGAAGCTTGTGTCGTGACTGTGTAAGACCTGGAGTATGGGTTTACAACTTGCGGTTATTTTTTTATGTTCTTTATGCCAGCATGTACACTATTAATGCAATCATGAGCATGATACCTGCCAGCACTGTGTTTAGTAAATGCCAAACGCCTGAATACGCAATACATTTGTTATGCAGTATCTATTTATTGTATGGAATGCATGCGTTCCCCTGTAGTAAACTCGTACAATGGACATTGTGTTGGAAGTCTACAATAATCCTGCTTTTCATTTTTAGAATATGTTTGGTTTATTGGTGTCTTGAATCCTTTTCATCATCTTCTTTTTTGGATCTTATTGATTGTATTACCATCTTTCCTACAACAAAATAGATCATCGATAAAAGCCCATTGATATAGACTCGATTGGCCCCGCATAGGCGGTCAGTGCGGGCGGTGAACCCCAATTGCCGGATTGCACGCTTCGGAGCCGTAAATTTTGAGGAGCCTCGGCCTCTCCTTTTCTTCCCCATTGTCTACTTTTCCCCTCCCTACTCATTGTCGCATCTCATTGCCATGGGGAATACATCGTCTCAACCTGAACCATTCCCCGAAATCCCTGAGGAATTTGGAGATATTGGTAGGTGGAAACACTTGATTTTCGCACGATTTGATACTAACATTTGCACTCTGTCAGTTCCCGAAACTCCGAATTCTTCTATGGCTGATGGGACGAAAAAAAAGAAGAAGAAACATGTCTCCTCAGAAACTAAGTCTTCATCGCCAGCAATTGCGGAAACCAATGGTACAAAGCGCTCCACGGAATTAGACTCCAACATGTCGAAACCTTCAAAGCGAAAGCGCGAGTCGGAACCCGAGCGCAAGCAAAAGTCCAAGAAGCATCGCAAATCAGAAAAACCCGTTGCCGAGTCAGTTTCGCCAGAAAACAACGCATCGCCCTCTGCAATTGCCAGTCAAATCCCCCCCACTCTCAGCCAACCCACTCCGTCAAAGCCAAAGCCCAAGTCCTCGGCGAAGAAGGCCCGCAAGCAGAATGGCGAAGATTTCAAAACTCCCGCTTCGTCCATTCCTCAACTTACTCCCGACTTGACAGCAGAAGAACTACCCGCTGTAGAGCAGCTAGCTGCCACAACGCAAACCCCAGCCCTCGACTCACCAAACCCCGAGGGTAGCACCACGCCAGGAGGCAGGGCCAAGGGAGTTAGAGGCTCACGCACTAGGGAGAAGGACAATTTAAAAATCGGATTCTACACGCCGGAAGAAGTGCGAAAAATCGAAGCGTACAAACTACATTTTTGCACCGCGCATGGCATTGCTAGCACCAAATTTGACGAGATGGTGCAGCATTCTGAGCGTGGCGCAAATGGTGAATTTCCAGTCTCCTCGGACGTCATCGTGAAAAGCGACTTTTGGAACGAGATCTACGCTCTTGTTCCAGACCGTGATCGACGATCTGTGTACCGATTCATGCGCCGGCACTTCCAAGCTTCCGCTCAAAGGGCGCACGATTGGTCGAAGGAGCAAGAAGATGAGCTTATTGAGCTCCACGCCAAACACGGTCCGAAATGGGCTTATATTGGTAAGCTCATTGGACGCAGTGATGACGATGTCACCCAGCGCTGGAAGAACAAGCTTGAGCACCAAGGAACCATGAACCAAGGTGCGTGGTCTGAGGAGGAATCCAGGATGTTCATTGCTGCTGTGGAATCAACGTGGCTCACTATGAAGCCAATGCTCGGCGACAAGTCAGGCAAGGATATGTACGAGCTCGATGAGCGCCTCATTGTATGGGGTAACATCAGCAAGGAGATGGGTCACATGCGGTCTCGACAACAATGCGCAGACAAGTGGCGCAAGATCGTGAGGCAGGTCATGATCATGCGGGCCAATGGCCACCCAGGCGCGGTGTTCGATCCCAAACTCGCTGCCAAAAGAAATGCCCACTGGAACCTGAGACTGGAGGCGCAAAGGAAGAGCTCTCAATTTGTGAATGAGGATTCTGATAACGACGAAACTATAAAAACTACCAACCCTAACCTAAATCTCAATGGTGAGGCAGCACCGCCTCCCACTGCCAATGTCAATGTCGAGTCCGACCACGCGGCGCATTCCGAGGAGGGTGAACCCGACTTGCCCGAGCCTCCCAAAAAGGCTAAGAAGTCCAAGCGCAAGCACAACGAAGAGCCCGCTTCTGGCCCCATCAAGGAAGCCCCGTCGTCTCCCGCCACTCCTAAGAAGAGCAAGGAGGAGAGGAAGCGCGAGAAGAAGGAGCGACGAGAGAAAGAGAGACAAGAAAAGGAGAAGCAAGAGCAGATTGAACAAGAAGCTCAGGAAGACAAGGCCGCACGCAAGGAGCGCAAGCGGAAGAGGAAGGAGGAGAAGAAGCAAAAGAGACTAGAAGAAGAGGAACGCTTTGCTGCCGAAGAGGCTAACAAGGCACCTAGCAGCGACGCCGAGGCCCCTGAGCCTTTTAAAAAGAAGAAGTCCAAGAAGCAGAAGCAAGCTTCCAGTGACAGCCCTGTCCCTTTGGCTGAACCCTCTCGTCCTATTGTCGAAGCATCCCCATCACCCGCACCACCCAATTCTCACCAATCTGGCACTGAACAGGATGCTGTGGTTGATGAAACTGACTCGGACGGCGGAGATGACGACAGCAGCGAAGTCAACGTTAAATACGAGACTGACTCGGATGAGCTGTGAAACTTAATGAAATGATGTGTTTGCCTATGCTATTGCTTGCTTTCTATCTTTCATTATACCCTTGTTTGCTAAGATTTCAATTCTTATGAGAGCGAGCAGAAGAAGAAAATTACCATGAAAATACAAAGGAGATTCACTATTTAAATGTTCAATTCAATAAATGCAACAAGTGTAATCATAAATGCAATCCCTTTATCTAATGAAACCCAGCGGGTCAACTATAATTCATCTTTGCGCTCTTCGCCAGTCTGCACAAACTCAGCCCCAGCAGCAGCCTGCTCGCCAGCAATGCGACTCGCCAAAGCCGCAATCTCATCATCATAGACAGTCCACTCAGGAACCTGCCTCCTAGCCCTATCTAACTTAGGCTCCTTGGTAAGGGGATTATTACAAAGATCAATAGTCTTCGCCACATCCAAATCCTCATCGGAACACCAAGTCTCACACCAAAGCCACTCCTGCGGCAGACTATGAATGGGAATATGATGCTGCATGTGGTTGGGCAGATCCTGGTCAAGGTTGCTGAGACTGTTCGGATCCGACGAGAGCATCTGGTATTGGCCGCGCAGACGGTCACCGGCAGCAAGTGCGCGGAAGCGGTTCAAATCGACGACGTACAGCGCCGAGATGTGGTAGGGCTTGCCGCGGAGGAAGGTGGACCAGTAGCCCTGTTTCCAGAAGCGGAAGCCTTCCATTTCGGTTCGGGAGTCGCCCATGGGCGTGAAGCCGTAGGGCGCCTCTTGGAGGTCGTGGGTGACTAGCTCGTACATGTCTGTGCGCACGATTTGATCCGCGTCGACGAAGATTACTTTGTCCAGGGAGAGGGGGAAGAGCACGTCTAGGAAGAGCATCTTGTACCCCCAGATCTCGCGTTGCTTTTCTTTTTGGGCGCGCAGCCAGTGCGGCCATTTGTATGTCACCATCTCGTAGGAGAAGCCGTATTCGCGGGCGAGGGAAGGGAGGAAGGCGCGGAAGGAGGGGGAGAGGAATTGTTCGATGAACCAGAATTTGACGGTGTGTTTGGTGTGTCGCATCACCGAGACCATCATTATGTTCAGCATGCGCTCGTAAAGGTGTCCACTTGCTACTGAGAAGATGTTGATATCGGCGTGTTGTTCGCCTCCGCTCTTGGACCCGACACCGACACTGGAGAGGACGCCGGATGCAAAGTTGAGTCCTTTGGAGAAATAGTCCATCTTTGGGCCCGGCTGGACTGCTGTCTCGAGGACATCTTCCTCCTCGTGGCCTGGCTTGCGCGATAGGCGAGGGAATAGCGTCCGACCATGGAAGGACAGCAGGGCAACCTCGTTGTTCTCGTCACCGGTCTGCGGGCGGTAACCTAGACCACCGACACTATCGATCTTGAAGATCTTTTCGCTGCGGCCGGGCTTCAAGTTGATTTGCCACAAGCCTGGCTGTGCCTTGAACTGGAAGTATCCCAGATTAGCCATGATGATAGTATCGGCGAAATCATGGTTGTTCTCGGTGCCCAAGATGAGCTGGACACCTCTTGGGGGAGATTTCGTTGTAAGATCACGAGAGTGACCCTCGATCAGAATGTGCTCGAGAGCATAGATAGCGTCAACGTCAGTACCAGACTTGACCGAGCTCAACTTAATGTTATCCAGATCATAGACTGATTCACTGGGTGCTACGAGCCAAGACGACGGCACGTCCATGCTCAGGGTCAGTAGTGGCTCGACAGGCACGCCAGTGAAGGACGCTTGCGGCCGAGCGAGAGCTCCCTCGTCCGTGAAAGATGGCTCTGATTCCAAGACATAGCGGTAGAACCGCTTGACCGGCAGCTCTGTGAGCTCTTCCTTCGGATTCAAGAAGATCTTCAGCTGAACGCCGGAGAGTTCAGATAGAACCTTCAGAATCGGCAACCATCGCTGAGCAACCTCAGATGCCGGGTCAAGGCTAACACCAACGTGGATCGTGGGATCATCGGAGTTAGAAACCGTGATAACAGAATAATCCGCCCTCCATTTGCCGGACACGTCCATTCTGAAATCGGGAGTGCTTTCGAAGATACCTTCAGGGACATCTGAGATGGTGGAAAGAGCCACAAGTGAGGTCAATTTGGCAAAATCGAGCGAGTTTGAGATCTTATCGGCAAGTCCGAGTTCGCCAACAGCGGCCGCAACGGAATCGAGGCGTTTCACCCGTTCGTAGGCAATCAGTTGGCTCATCTCTGCCACACTTAACGGGTTTGCTTTCTCAATAGGGCTGACTGCCCTCCCATTGACAACGAGTCCCTCGGTACCAGGGTTGAATCCAAGTTCTTTCGCCAGAGTTTGGTGCAAAGCTTGAATGGTAGAGATCTCCTGGGCTTCAGCCTCAAGATCACCAGATTTAATCTTAGCCAGTACTTGGTCGATGGTCTCTCCCTTCGCAAGCGAGAGATGGAGAGTCACGAGATGCTTGGGGACGTCATCCTCGGCGTCCGATGCCGCATTGTGCAGCATCAGAATCTCCACGTCACCGTTCTCCTTTCGAAGATTGAGGGCTTCGGTAAGTAGTTTTATACCTGCCTCTGACTCGAAATCGCCTACAACTATCACATGAACGCTCTCCAGAGCTCCCTTGTCCGACAGAACGTGAGGAATATTGCTCAATACATCTTTGTCCGATGGAAGGATGTTAGCGATGTCCACAATCTGTACACTCTTAGGATCTTCGGGCATGAGGAAAGTATTGCGTCCCTCGAATGCGCCAGCTAGGAAGAACTCTGGAAGCCATGCATCCTCCTCAAAAATTCCCTGTACAATACCTTGCTGGACCAACTTCAAGTCCCTGCTGATCTGCATGCTCATTCCCTGCATCCAGTTGCCTTCTCGGGAGACAGGGATACCGTTTACTAGGAATTGAGGTGCGTCGCCGGTAAGACTCAACCGACGCTGGTAAGCGGCTGTTTGGGACACCAGAGCATCATATTTCTCGTTCTTCAAGATCTGGTCAAGAGACAGAACTTCATGTTTATCAACGAGGTCGCGATCTTTGGACGCAGACTGGAAGCACGATTTATCTGGGAATCCAGTTTTGCCTTTCGAGGCAAACTCTTCGAAATATTGCACAAGAGACTCTATGCCATAGGCATCGGAAAGGTAATGCGCTACCTTCAGTTGCGCAATGGACTCTGGCGACGAGCTGGTAGGTACGAAGCCGAATCTCACAGGAATTCCTCGCTTGATGAAGGCATTCAGGTTCCCAGCAACAAGCATCATGTGCTCCGGGTTAGACGCGTCCATAGACACGACGACATTGTGCAGATCTCGGCTCACTGGAGGCAATTGTCCCGGATAAGAACCGGCGACGTACTAAGATTGTGTTAATATGTATCCAGTCCAATAGCCATGTGATAAAGTACGAACCGCTCCAAGATCACCGGGCCAGGACTCGTATCTAGAGTCCTTCTCTAGATTGTTCATCCAAATAATAACCCGGTTCCCTTCTAAATCATCCCGATAGTCATACCGTTGCTCCTCGCCTCCAGCTTGGGCTTCAGTGAGGATTGGGTGTGACAGCAACTTCACAGCATCATCCGCAGAGAGACCCAGACCGCGGAATTTCTCAATCAATTTCCTCTCTCGGCGCAGATGTTCTAGAAGGGAGAATGCGTCAATCTGCTGTGTGTCCATTTGCACACCGTTGATCCACATGGCATTGGAACCACCAGGGAGAATTTTTAACCGGTTATGGCGGATCTCTTGCGCCATTTCCCCAGTGGAGTTGTGGGCAGCTACTATCGATGAATACTTGGGGAAATTTTGGGACATCTTGATCAATGTCGCCAAAGGATCAGAGCTGTCCATAACGTAGCTCGCAGAGTTCAGGCCTAGACGGGTCACTTCAGAGGAAGACAGAGGCCGGAGGTCATCGGGAGCATCTTCCTTGGTCTCATCTGGGTCAGTTGGAAGACTTTCGGTGACCTTTGCTTCGAGCTGCTCTGCGTCACGGTCATCAATAACAATGTAGTCCGTTCGCTTCAAAGCAAGCTCCACGCCATATCCAGACACAAACAAGGGACGGGAAATCCAGTGCTGGGGAGGTCGATAGCGTATACGGTACGAGATCTGTCCCTGTTTCGCCATATCGCTCAGGGTTTCATGGAAATCTCTGAACATTGGAGAGGCAACATCTGCGTACAGAACAGCCGGAGGTAGCGATGCATCTCCCAGGACTCGATCAAATGGTAGTTCTCTGGGGTCCCTGGAGCACAGATTCAATGTCAGCAATGGAGTCCATGCCCCACGAACAAAGAGCTACCCACAATTCTCCCACGACATCCTGCTGTGCGCGTTCCATGGCAGAAGAACAATACTGCTTTCCCTCCGAGTGGACCCATACCGGACATACCGCATCTTGGGCCACCATCAAGGACTGCTCAACCGAGGTGTTATAGAACTGGAAGTGCGCCTCAATACGAGGCGCCGATGATCGGACCGAAAGCGATAATTTGAATGAGGCAAGACTCTCTGGAGTCTGTATGTGACCATCATCCTTCACAACTGTCAAGAAGCGGTCGTAGAGCTCCTTCTCGGTTGTAAGGTCCTCAAATGTCCCGTCGGCGATGCGATCCAGCAAAGGAAAATAAGAAGTGGAGTTTTCTTCGGCGGCAGATTCCCTGCATTGAATTAATTAGCCATTCTCGAATTGGCAGACCTATTCCAGGCGAGAGATCACTCAATGTGCAACGTACAGGAGCTCGACGAGGTATGGGGCCGAGTCAAAGGAGGCTTGGAGTGCCACGTTGACAGCTGGGCTAGCATTGGCTATCCAGCCTGGTAGCAGAGCTCCGACGGCGGCATACCACCGCCAGGAAATGTGAGATCCCATAGAGGCCCTCATTGTCGCGAAATGCAGTGTGAAAGGGCAGTTGTGTATATTCGTTGTATGGTATAGGGGATAGCCTCGTGTTAGACGAGTCGTATGTGATATGGTGTGGGCTTCCTAATTAGCAAACATGCAGGCCAATCCATTTACAAGCATCACGGGCCAAATGAGCTAGAGCTCTCAACAAAGACGGTAGTGAGATTGAAGATGATACGGCTGATCTGGTCTGGACACTTGGAGGGTTTCGCTATCTTATCGCAGTTTCTACGGCAGACTGAGCGGCAACTGGCGCAATCTCCGAGGTATAAATGTCGACTGCTCTATTCCGTACTCCGAGCGTTGTATTGCAATTGGCTACAGTTGTGAGATCCTACATATACGAATTTATATCTATTGGATGGGAGGTGATTAATAATAACGATAAAAGATAATAATAATTTTGGTTTTAAATCCAGTGAGCTGGACGCTATCGTGAAGACATAAAGTCGTAAATCAACACCCCCCCATATGCTTCCCCCGAACGCCTTTTTTTTGTTCCGAAACAACTAAGGTAAGTCACATATGCAGCGGCTGGCTCTGCACAACAGAGGCCTGAGATTGGCAAAGTTGGAAGCAAGTGCTCCCTCTAGATTTTGTGCTCGCAGGGGGGACGGCTGCAGCGAGAATGAGAGAAGAAAGAGTAAGGGATGATCGAGTCGAGTGTAAAGAAATCAAGGGGAATGTGAGGAGCATGTTCAGTCCGCTCTCTTGAGGGGTTTTTTTGTTTTTTTTTTCGTTTGCTGGTTTGCTTTTATGCTTTTGTAGGAGAAGTTGCAGAGAGGTTGGGATTAAATGGCCTGGCCAATGCTTTGGGCCGCCTCAGCCGCGTCGACTGCCTTGCGAGCTTTGGCTTCATCAATCAAACGCCGGCGCTTATCGTCAGTCAAGTCAAAAGATATAGTTGCGTTGAACTTGGCTGATGTCTTGGTGCTTTTGGTGCTCTTAGCGCTGCTAGCCCGACTGTGGAAATCTTTGCAGGACTGCATCTTCTTCAGGCTGCGCTCAAACTCTCTCTGCTGCTCTCTCTGCTGCTCCCTCTTAGGGTCCTTCTTCTTGCCCCATCCTGACAAGGAGGCAAATCGTTCCAGGAATGAACCATGCTTGCTAGTGCCTGTGTTCGGTTCTGGAAACTGGGGAAGAGGCTTTTCGGCATCCGAAGAGTGGGAGCTAGCAGGGCAGGGGCCAAAATCGGGCCCGAAGCTGATACCCGAGTCGGTGCGGCGCTGCACGCCGGACTTGCTAATCTGACTAGGGTGGTTGATCAAAGTACACTCGTCGATCATCTCGAGAGCTGCGTTTAAGTATCGGTCAACGACGTCATACAATGCAGGCCATCCATTCTCGTCACCGGGTCGAGCGCCTTGCTTTATGATAGGCTCCAGGATGGAACGATCAGACTCAAAGGTGGTAATGAATTTGAAGAAGGTGTCACGGTGATTTCCAAGGATGGCTGTCGACAACTGCTGTGTTGGGGTAGAGCTGTCCCGGTGAAGAGGTGGCAGTAAAGTGTTAAGAAGAGCAAGGCAGTTGGCTTTGTCGAATGGCTCGAGCATCATCTGATTGACAAGAACCTGAGAGATAAATGTTAGATACGGAACTCGCTGTTTCAAACTCGGGATAAACCTTACCCAGCGGCGGAGGCCGACATAGACCTGAGTGTAGAGAAAATCGATCATGCGTGCCTTGTCGCTAATTTCTTTGTACCAGACCAACACGTTAGGGAAGTGACAAGCCACTTCCGAGTGCTGAGGGTCACTCATATCCTGGGAAGTAACGTTGAGTCGGTTAAAGGCAGCATCAATCTCCTTTTTCCAGCGAGCTTGGAGGTCTCTTATGTAATCAAGAGCAGTTAAAGCCTGGGCAAAGTCGACTTCGGACAGTTCCAGACAAAAACAGCGGCGCACAAAGGAGATAATGAAGCTCGGAGGGAGCGAGCAAGGTTGAGAAGCCAATTCGGCGACAGTCTTAGACAGACAGGCACGGAATTCGGCATTGGTGTCGTAAGAAGGAGCATCGAAAGAAGACTTGGAGTTACGAGAGTTTTTGGACACAACGGAATTGCGGGAGAAGATGGAGGGTGATCGAGGAATGAATGACGGCGCCATTGTGCTCTTTGACGGGTGGCAATTGAGTTCGTATGCAGCACGAAGAGAGATTTCGTAGTTGTCGGCGTAACGCAAGCAGTGATCAAAGATCCACGTCAATGCTGACCCATCGGGTGCATCCAATGGCTCATAATGGGGGTCTGGAGACATGCTATGAATATTTGAAGGATTGAAGTGTTGGGACTGTTGCCGAGACAAGAGTGTGTGTTAAGAATCGGTTGTAAAGAGAATTGTAAAGAGAGTTGTAAAGAGAGTTGTGATGAGAAGGAAATAATGCAAGTGCAGTGGCTAAAGAGCAGTAGTTATGGTCGACCCGAAGAACCGTAGCGGCTGGGATAGCTCAAAACCCGTCAAGGGGGGTAGATAGAGACCTGATAGGCCCAAAGAGGAATAGAAGACTGGTGGAGAGACCCGGTTGGTCGGATCAGCCCTGGAGTACCGAAGACTTGAGTCACCCAGGGAGGCCAACAAAGAAAAAAAGCTTTCGCGGCTGGCGACTACTCTTTTTTTCAGGATATCCCTTGAGAAGCAAAACCAATCACGATGCGGGATCTCTCGGATCTCCTGCACGCCAGATCTGATGTATGCAAAAAAACGCAAAAGGCGGCTTCAATGGCTAGCTTCCGAGCACTGAAACGTGAGACACGTCTTAACCCCCTTCAAGGATCGAGTAGAGAATGTAAGACGGATAAAGGGCCAAAGTGGTTGGGGGATATGAGACCAAGCGAATGTGGAGAGAAATCAAGGAGAGTTGAGGAGAGTTGAGGAGGAAGAGATCGAAATGCTTCTGCGGAGGGGAAGGGTCCCATACAAAAAGGCGCGAGGTGTTGCCCTTGGCTGGACCATTCTACGCGGTGGAGACGGACTCAACCGCAAAAAAACCGCAAAACAAAATCACAAAATTCGAAAATGTTTTTTAAATTACTCAAATTGGGGTTTTTTTAATTGTTTAAATTAATAAATTCAATATTTAATTAATTTAATTTAAGTCAAACCCCTCTCTATCCGAGTCCAGATCCATGGATTCTGTTTTTTAAGGCTACTCCACCTGCACCGACCCGCTGGAATATGCCATTAGCCCCGATTTGTGTGAAGCACAATTGGCTTGGAATGCTTCAGAGACAGCCGTTGGCGCTATTCTGGATCCACTAGCCTACGTTTAGCACCTTTCCTCTTCAGGTAGGTTCTAAGCCAAAGAGACTAGCTCACATTTATGATTGGATGATCATCCTTTCCGGCTTACAGTATGTAAGACGACTAGAGCTGTCTTGCATTCAAGGCTCCATCCAGTGCACGCGGAACCCTAACATCGTGACCGGGAACTGGGGGAGCCGTTACACCTAACAAATTTTTCGGCTCTGTCAGATTCATCAGCGCAGCGTAGTGGTTTTTATGCAGAAAAGGACTGGTCAATTTACAGAACAAACTTCTCGGATGTTCGCCTCCGCTTCAGCTATGCATTACGCTGCTCAGCTTATGTCTACGATGCACATCGTACTCTGTACAAGCAGATCTTCTCATATTGTGGCTCATCTTGTGGCCACGTACTTTTGTCTTCGCCCCCGGATAAAAATCTCAAACAACGTACGCAGTACTCCGTAGGTACATCCAACTGTGTATCTATTATTGTACCATATGAACCATTCTCCCGTACTTTTTTGTCTATTTCAAGAAACGAACCCTCCATTAATAATTCTTCGATCCGATTACGATTGTGTTAGCTTCAATGTTTGATCGCCTGTGGGGCTTTGAACGTAGCACATACGCAATACGTATGGTACAACTTGTATAATATGTTCATACATATGCCTGGGGATGAAACCACCTTTGACCGTTGCCTTGGGTCCACTCCAAAAAGGAGCCGTTGGAGCAGTCACATGGAAATAAATCAAATTTGATGTGCAAAGTACGATATAGGCAAAGAGCCGTGATACTCTTCAGGGCTTCGCAAAGCTCAATCATTCATTTGCAGATCAATAAACAGCTGTACATAATTCTCGACATCATCCACGGCTCAACATGTATTTTCCATGGTAACTCGACTACTAAACCGCGGCTGACTGTCCAGTCGGACGGGCCGCGTTCTACGCCCTAGGTGCCTGAGGCGTTCTTGGTTTCCCGATGATGACAGGTCTACTTTCCAACCTCCGTCCGCACCCTGGGAACTACTTCTACTTCGTACTTAATTTAATACCTGGGATACTTAAAATTGGGGATCAAAGATCAAACACATGTGCATATCCGGAACTTCCGCGATCGATACAACGAAACAAAACAACATACGGAGTACATAACACTGCCTAGGTGATCCACAAGTCCGTCAATTTCGGGACCTTCCCAAACTAGTTTAGCAGAATCACATGACCAGCTTTCAGCTTGAGGCGTATGTGTCGATCTATCAAGCCCAGAAACGATGATCGTCGTCAACGCCTTTGTTTGCTTCCGATATTGTATACTCCGTACTCCGTATGAAAGTCAATTAGCTCAAGGGGCCAATCTACCAGATCATTGGGCGACTTTCATGATGATCACTTCATTATCGCTTTTATTGTACGGAGTACTCCGAACTCCGTAAGAGTACCCTGTGCTCTACCCCTTGTACTTTATTGGATGTTGGTAGCTACCAGCTACCAGCAGCTCGGGTCAACAGACACTTGGACCCTTTTCGCCTCGGTACCGGATGATGACAATGGTGTTTTAGAAGCTTGATAACTGAAAAGGCCCCTTTTAGTCCGTACGATGTATGGAGGACAATCATGACCCTTTTTTCTCCTGCAAATCTCTTAATTAAAGTTAAAAAAAATAGATATGATAGACATTTCTTAGACAAGATACCCAAGGGGCCCCTTGGGTATCTACAATATAGAAGGAACTGCCTAGTCATATCGATATTCTCCACTTTAAATTATATTGTACAAAGGAACCCCTTTACACACTAACCGCCTTCTAGATTCGAATAGGTCTCCAACTAAGCAATCTCAATGCATATACTCCGTATTCCGAGCTCGGATTCCGCAGGGATTCCGTACTCCGTCGGGATAGTCGCACAAGTCGGAAACCCACCGGTGTCACCTAGTCCAAAGCCTCATTCAGGATCACAACAAAGATCACACTGCTCATCGCCGTTCGTGATCTGCAGTCCGCAGCTTAGTGGTCTCTTTATGAGCGATCATCTTCTCTCCAAAACGCAACAAGCCGATGCAGATGTTATTAGGCAGCAGGGCGTGTTTCTGAATCTGAAACCCCCATCTGATCAAAAGGAATCTTGGCTAACTCAGGTTGATGACCATGACTGTACTCTGTATGTTGTACCTAGGCCCACCTTACCAGGCACAAAAGATTGATTAATAATTCCATGCCTGTCCCCTATCCATTGCTTGATGACAGACGTATTGTGATCAGTGTCATCGGCAGCTAGTTCATTGAAGAGACAACTCGACAGAGAGATAGGGGCGCATCTGTGCATCCAGCGAATTCTACTAAGGCAGTCTATAGTAGTGGCATGTGAAGCGATTAGTACCAGACTCTAACTTGCCATTTCCACACTGTGAGATTGTGATTGCCTGGTAATCACCATAACTATGCAGTCAGTACACATGTCCCACGCCGTACTCATTGCGACTCTTGCCGCTCATGATAATAGCTGAGTAAGCTCTGTCAACGGCTTTGATATAGCTCAGTAATGTGGAGAAGACCTTTAAGTTGAACTTGTTTTTTTCCAATAGAAGATAGACAGGGCATCCCCGGTCTGCAGCACGGCGCCGGCCTTCCTTAGTTTTGCCTGAGGGAATCGCTTGATGTTCTCTTTTACTTCCAGAGACCCCCACAAGTGCATTAGCCTAGTTGATTAGACGAGACAAGCGGTTGGTGTCGCATTGGTGAGGGGGGTTGCTAGGTATCATGTAGTTTGCCGATCCAGTGTAGATAGGTAGGTATAGCTTCCCGATTAGGCAGGTCCTCACCTGCACGGGTTAAACGAGTGATGACATAAGCAAACCATATCAGCCCCTCCCGCCCGGCAGAAAAAGGCGGACGATAAGATGCGTAGCTTCCATACTTCAACTTGGTTCTGCAGCTTTTCATTTGTCCAAGGCACTTAGCAGCCATGACAAAGGGGCCACTGGAGACCAAGCTCCAATTTGAGAAAAAGAACAAAGACCTTATCAGACTTCCAAAATGTGAGCCCTCCCATCCGAACGCCTGGCCAAGCTGGGAATCAAAGATCATAAACGCTGACTTTTGGATTACAGATGCCAAGGTGGAGAAGCGGCCTATACCTCATGCGCCAGTCGCCTCCCCGTATGCTGGCGCATCGGTACCCAAGATTGTCTATGTCTCTAAGACCACGCCGTTCATGAGCGCCGTCAAGCGCGTCCAGAAACTCCTCCTGCAGGCCGAGAAGCGCGCCACCGCAAACATCAACCTTGAGGACACGCGCAAGAACGAAAAACAGATCCTCGAAGAGCTGTCGAAGGTGTCAGAGAAGCGAGAGGAAGTTTTTGTGAAGGCGACAGGACGGGCTATCGAGAAGGCGCTGAACGTAGCCAAATGGTTCGAGGAAAAGGGAACCGAGTACACCGTCCGCGTCAATACTGGGAGTGTGGTTGTCGTGGATGATATCGTCGAGGACGAAGAAATGAAAGCAAAGGAGGAACAGAAACGACAACGGCAGGAAGAGCAAACCCCAACTAACCAGGGAGATGCGGGTTCTAAGCCGGAATCCAAGTCGGCCGCAAAGAAGAGGAAACGCCAGGCCGCAGCAGCAGAAAATGACACTGAGCTCCCCGAGAGCCGGACGAGGTGGATCAAAATGGTGGAGGTCGCCGTCAGCCTCAAGTGAATTCGCCTACGATCAATTCCGATAAATACTCATACGATAGTCGACATTCGACTGCCCGACCATCGTCTGCTGATCTGAGGATGTTCAACTGCAAAACTCCACATCCATTGCTGGGAAATAACCATTTTGTCGCGAGCCTGTGGCCAAGCCCAGAATTACCAGCTAGGGCATTGAGTGCACACAATCCTGCTGAGTGACCATGATCCGAACGGAACGCTCATGGTGACTATACACCACCCAGTAACCCAGCTCAGAAGTCTTCTTATCCTGGATTCCTGTTCTGGGATATTGCTGATGAAAGCAGTCAAACCCTCAAGCACCAATTCGAGGCCGTCCTCTTACCACTCTTCATCACTTGCATATACCCAGTACCAAATACTCTCTACAGGTGCAATATCAACATTGCACAGGCGCGGAAGGCGCTTGAGCAGGATCAGGAAAAGAACAATTCGTTTGTCCTTAGGTTATTAGCCTAGCACAAAATCATGTACATCGAGATTGTCCTTAAGAAATAAACTCTGATTTACCCAGAATACATGCTCCACCCGACCTCGAAATCAACCCAACGCGCTGTAGATGCCGGACAGACTTTATGAAAAACGAAAGAGGGAGAGACTGGACTATAGGGTAACAGTGCTACTCGAATAAAAAAAAAGGTTTAAAAGATGGAGCCTGGATCATCGAATCCGCCAGCGAGAAACAAATGGCATGAATAAAAAAAAACGAAATAGTACGAATAAAAACTCCTTGATACGCTCACAAAGTCCTGTGCTGACATGACATGATGAATGATAATGCCTGAAAACCCTTCATCGAACGAAACGTTTCAAAGAGAGGCTGCAAGTCATGAACGTATCCCGATTTTCCCCATCATGTACAGACAAAAGAGAAAGAGAGATGTCGATACCTCAAGAGGGCGACAGGCTAATAGTAACATAGTAGGAGGTAGAAGAAGAAAGAAGAAAAAGGAGATGGCGAGAGGGGGAGGAACGGACGTCGAAAAAGACGACGAAGAAGGAGATCTCTGAGAGGGATCTCGAGAAAGTCATCAAAAAATTCGTGAGATAAAAGAGACAGTGGGGGCTAAACGGAAGAGGCTCCGAATATGAAGACAAGAAAATGGTCCTCAGCCGAGAGGAGAAGCAGGACATTCATTGCCAGAAAATCGTGACTGGCGAAAACTGAAATCTGATGAGAAAGATAGGAGACAAAAGTCAAATAATGCAAAGGGCCTATGCAATAGAAATAGCCGTCCAAAGAACAGGGAGTCCCAGAAGTAGCACGCGAGGCCAAGGTGGTTTATTTGTCCATCTTTTGCCAACCGTTGAGATAGGCCATCAGGCCTACTCCTAACAAGACGACACCAAACATGGAGGCATAAGGACTTGCTTCTTCCACATAGTTATATCGACGGCGTTGTGTTGCCAAGGCTGTAGCTGCAGCATCCAGATCCTTGTTCTGGGAGGTAACTGGATCGAAGCCCTGCATCGATGGAGTCTTCGTCTTAGAATCCGTTAAAGTAGCATCGCTCGTAAGCGACTTTTCAGATAAGCCATTGCTTGGCTCGCGGTCATGCGTATCGGTTTTCTTGTCAAGTGCCGTGGCGGATGCCTTCTCAGCGCGTTCCTGGCGCAAGGTTTCAATCATTTCGTTCAACGACTTGCGAGACTCATTAGTCTCATCTTCAGCCTGCTCGGCGCGATCTTTGAAGGATGCCATTTGCTTTCTCATCTCTTCCATCTCCTCCATCATGCTTTCCAAGCGAGTCTGAAGTTCAGCACTCTTGTCTTCTACAGGAGCATCTGCCGGGCTGTCGTTGGGGGTGGAAGTCTCCGAAGGATGGATGCCGTTGACCTGCACGGTGGGTTCTGTACCACCCTGCTCCTTCTTTCCGTCTACACCATTCTCTGAAGGTGGAACAATAGCGTTCTCGACTTTGACTTCTTCAACTTCCAATGAGCGCATCTCCAATTCATTGACTTTGTCTTCTGCCAATTTGCGAGCAGCCTGTTCTTGGAACAGCATATTTTCTAGTTCCTTGACACGTGTTCCATGGCTTTCAATCTCTCGCTTGGCAGACGATAGCGCCTCAATGAGATTCAAGATCTGACTGGAATCCCGGGAGACAGGAGAAGCTGTACCACTCTTCGGCTTTTCTGTATCGCTACGCTTGAGCGGTGAGAACGATTCCGAGGCACTTCGTGACAACGCATCTGGTTTCTCCGGCAGAGGTTGTTGAGGAGGAGGGGCAGGAGGGTCCGAAAATCTTGAAAAGGAGTCGACCCGAGGCATTTTAGGGCGACCATTCATCTGGCGATGAGCATTATTCTCCAAAGGAGACGGCTTAACGATCTTTTCTTTCTCTGCATAGCCCGGTTTCATGATAGTCGTCAAAAATTCATCTGCTTGAGAAAGATCTGTTGTTTGTTGCTTTGCGGATTTCAATTCGCTCTAGAAGAAGTTAGCGATATGTAGTATTTTAAGACAAATAGTGATTCGCACCGTAAGCCGCTTGACGACCTGTTCAATGGAGATTGGGGAGTTCCAGTAGTTCATTTGCCGTTGTTGATGTAAAGCATTGAGCTGATTGTTGGTAACACTCTGAGCACTTCTGCTACTCGCGTTGCTACCAGCTCGACCACGCATGTGAGAAAGCGGTTGACTCAACGGGGAAGGGAGAAGGCCACCCCCGGAAGCAGGATCCAAGTCCCCGAAGTTCAGATCAAGGATACTAGGGGTAGTGCCATAGGTTCCGGCATGCTCAACCTTGGATGAGACTTTGTGGTGGACGATGGTGGATTGATCCTCGCTGACAATATCGATACCCAACTCAAGGGTGTCGCTTTCTCGCAGTTCGTGTGGCTCTGACTCCCGGTTTTCAGGAGACAGTCGGTGGCCGTTCACAAATGTGCCATTTGAGGATTTGACATCTCGAATCCATATTTTGCCAGACTTATCAGCCCAAACCTCAGCGTGTTGTCGAGAGAGAACTTTAGAGTCAAAGTATCCATTGAGAGGAGTGGGGACCGTTTTGGCATTTGTTTGTCGCCCAATTCGCAGGACCTCGGGATAGTATGGTACATTGATCTGTTTCCTATCAAAGGTGCCGTTCATTGGCAACAGGATCAAGATTGCTGGGTTCTCCGAGGGCGGGCCAGTTGGCGCACGGACGCCATTCTGCTGCGATGACTGAGGCATCTGTTGCGATGGGACGATGTTCGATGGCTGATGCATTGCGGACATTGTCGACGACGCACTTGGACCCGACGAGAAAGCAGGCACTGCCTGGGATCTTGCGTTCGTTACCCCTGACACCGGCTCGGATTTTGAGCTAGGCCAGATATTCTTCGAATGTTTCTTTTTTGATGACGACCAATTCTCTGATTCGCTGGCGGAATTCTGCGCGGCATGAGTATCTTGGGAAGGGGCGGTCACAGTAGATGTGGAGATCGAGGAGTTCGACCCCAGAGAGGAAGAGGAGTTTGAGCGTTGAACGTGTTTCCGTGGCATGAACATCCGTGACACGTCGTCGGCATTCACTGAAGACAGAGCTCCTTCTCCTCCGTTACTAGAGCTGTACCATCCCAAGCGAGACCCCGATTCGACACTAGGTGGAGATGCAACAGCAGTCATGGAGAAGGATGCGAATGGTTCAAGGGAATGGGATATCTAGACGGAGCACGGAGCGCGTCTACGGTTGCGAATTGTAAAAGGGGCCGTATTCTGAGGTATTCTTGAAAGGTGAAAAGAAGACGTCTAGTAATGTTGATTTATGTCCGAGAGTTGGGGATATTGAATGCGCGCAAGGGTGATTGGAGCTTTAGTAGCCCGACTAAAATGAAGACGGTCGCGTTAGTGCTGTTTGGGGGAGAGACAAATAAAATGGCTCCTAGGTCGAGGTCATGCCTCGACCCCACAAAAAACCAGTTGTATATTTGGAGTAGAGAGTGAACTCACTTCTGAATTGTGAACTGAGAGATATTTAGGAGTAAAATAGGTGCTTCAAGACCAAGGGAGTTGTGTGGAGGTCGGAAATCGTGAGCGACCGGTCTCACGCCAGGGCAATGATAGAAGCACAAGACGGGACTGCCGCCTCGGCGCAGGCTTCAGGCAGCCCTTTAAAAGATGTAACGGAAAAGAAATCAAAGATCCAGGATAGTTGCCATGAGGGAACCCAGGCAAGAGCGCAAGATGGCCAGTTTCCCTACTCCCTTGACGCTGGCCGGCAAAATAGGTCACGTGCTATATCGGCACGTGTGCAATTTAAAGCCCGTTGGGGTTTCACGTGACCAAGGCGGAGAAGCATCAAGCCGGGGAGGAAAAAGAGCTCGTTCCTTGACTCTCACAACGGGATCTCTCATTCAGCTCAGAGCTGTTGCCTGCTGTTTTTATTCAATTTACAAGCTTCTTTTTAGCTTTTCATAATGCCTGTGGTTGCTGGACCTCCCGCTCAAGCGGGCCCAGGGGGTGCTCCCTCAACTTTTGACAAGAGTATGTCATCTACAGCCTAGTGATATAGATCACACTTCGCTCGGTGTTCTTATTGGGGCACCATATATATGTGTACCAAATGTGCTGACAGATTATTAGTGAAAATGGGCTGCATGATGGGTTCCAGTATGTGATGGCAAAACAACCGAGCCTTGTTCACTGAGAGCTTTTAGCTAACATAGCTCCCCTCTTAGCTGTTGGTGGCATCATGGGTTTCATTATTGGTTTGTCCCACTCTGTCCTCAAATAAACAAGTGCCGGGTTAGCTAACTGGGAGCAGGAACTGTGACAATCTTCCAGTATGGCGCTGGCCCCAACGGTGTCATGCGGACTCTGGGCAAGTACATGCTGGGTTCAGGTGCCACTTTTGGGTATGGTTGACTCCTTGAGCCTGGAAGCTATACTAGATTGATTGAAAATCACTGGCTAATCAACCTTTATTCAAATAGACTCTTCATGTCCATCGGTAGTGTCATTCGCTCCGAGGGACCTCAAAACGATGCCTGGCTCCGTGCCCGAGGACCCCCGATGATGCTCCCCCGACAGAGCCCCCTCCGGCCTATGCGCCAGTGAACAAAACTTTTCTCGCAGTCTCAAGACTATATTCGGGAAACATGCGACATGACCACTCCCTGGCGACGTCCCTTGTACGATATAATCTCTATGGTTGAGAGATACTTTTTTTCTGGTGGTTTCAAGAGATAGGACAACTACCCAAATATGGCTGTGATGGACAGGTTCATGGGTACTTGCTACTTCAGCACGCGATGTACATAATCTAGCAGTACCCGCAACATGGATGTTAAAGTTCAATTGTCTCAGTTGTTCCAACCATGTTAGGCGTTAACGTGACAATATATAACTTTTTTTTTTACTTCCACGATCCAGTCCTATCATGGGCGAGGAAACTTCCCTCCAGAGCTGTCTGGGAACGAGGCCAACGATATAACTCTTATAGGAAAGTGCATCCGCTTTAAAAGGTATATCAATCTACCAGGCCAAATATCCCTAGGTATGGCCTAGTTTGACTACGACCCTTAATAGGGTTCAAAGTCAGGGCAAGAAATCTAGTTAGTTCTGAATCTGACCACGTTGATCACCGATCTTCTAATAAACCTGCACTGAACTGGCATCTATTTTGTTTCAGACCTGGTTTAGAACTTACGGGGCCCCTCGAATATAAACCTGGGGTTAACCCCAATGCCCAGGCTAAACATCGTTTCAAGGCTTATAGCATTGAATTGCCGAAGATGCTTGTCTTTAGTGACTTATCATTGTTTTCTACCTTGCCTTGATCATCGCCACCAAGCTATGAAAAGATCCATCCTCAATCCGTTTTCAGAGGAGCCATATCCGGTTGCAACTAGCTAGCTAATAGGCAGTTGCACTAGTGATTCATTTCTGTTTGTTTCCGTTTGTCCGGTGAACCCCGAGACCAGATGCAGAGATCAATGTCGGGATTGCTGTTCCAGCCGAACTTGGGGACTTGAAAGATCTAATCCCAGGCTATTCGAGTTAGGGGCCATGCTCTTTGACTTGACATATGCAGGTATGCGGCTAAAATAGCCAAGTAGATCTTTGTATGTAGAGGTAGGCTGTGAAGATCAGTATCAGAGTACGGACAATGGAGGCGACTAGACCGACTGGATGTCACAAATACGGTCGCAGCATAAGAATACCATAAGAATACATATCAGTGTTATAATCGGGATCAAGTTTACTAGTTTCTTACTTATCCTCAAATGAGACACCGAAAACATAGTCACCCCCTTGTATGCCTACTGCACGGAGTACAAAGTAAGTAGCAAGGCATATCCAGGTGTCAGCTCACCAATAAAAGCGCTAAAGAACATCAAACCTGCGGTGAACACAAAGTAAGCAGGTGGATTCTAGTTCGATCTGCAGATTTTCCAGATTGCCCAATAATGAAACCATTTTTGCCCCCCAGGCCTATGATCACAGCCTAGTTTTGTTTCGATAGGCGGTAGGACACCCTCCTCCCCAGCCCCCCCCCTGGCGTAGAATGGCAATTGCACATGACGAACAACCTTGTAATTAGATCTATCCAATGAGAAGTTGCTTAGGCTGACAGCTGAGTTCTTGATATAACCTTGAGTATGCGGCTCAAATTTGGGGAATATATAAGCCATCACCTCTGCTGAGACCTCAGCTAGGAGGTTTCCCAACAGAGCCTCCGTCCCACCTTCCATCATGACTACTCAGTTAGCATCTCCGGCCCTTCATTATAGCTGTACTTTGATAGCAAGTCTCTACATTGTGATCTGCATTTTCTTTAATCGCGCTCCGGTAAAGAAAAGAAAGACTCGCTCCAAGCGTCGCAGGCGACCCCGAGTTATCTTGACTGCCTTGATCGTTTTCACATATGTCAGTCAAACGGTTTTGAAAATCGCCACCGATGACTTAGACCGTTCTCAGCCGTTCCTGGTGCATATGACCTCTCAGGCAGTTGTATGGATTGCACTGGGGCTGCGACGAAATCCTTCCACGTACGAAGTGGCTGGAGCCTCGTTGGTCACCGCTGGTTTTGAAGTTCCACTCCTTGCGCTCTCCTTGTCTCCCAAACCGAGACAATGGGTACCAATCACGCAGGTCACTACATCAGCGGTCCGACTTGCCCTGCTTGTCTTTGTGACAACTGCGATTCTATTTGAGACTAGACAGAGGAAGAAAAAGATCTCGGAAGAGTCGCGCCCTTTCCTAAATGGTAATCACACAAGATATGGCGCAGCGAATGGCAACGACTCGGACAATAGCAGTGTGGACTCCAAGAGCGAGAGCGACTCGGACACCGGCAAAAATAAGAATGATGCAGCTGCACGGAGGAAAAGGCTCCGCGATGAGAAGTTGCAGTCACTTGGGGGCTGGTGGGATTATCTGAAAGGGTTTTCGATCTTTCTGCCCTATTTGGTCCCAAAAAACAATCTCAAAGTACAGCTTTGTATTGCTACCAGCATCTTCTGTCTAGTATGCCACCGAGCCTTGAATATTCTCATTCCTCAGCAACTAGCAGATGTAACTGATAGCATCTTTGCCAACAAAACCCCGTATGCTTCACTAGGAACATGGGCGCTGCTGCAGCTCATTCGTGGCGGAGCGGGGCTAGGATTGATTGAGTCACTCGTCAAGATTCCGATCAGGCAGTTCTCTTACCGTCAGATTACCAATGCTGCCTTCAGCCATGTCATGAATCTATCAATGGATTTCCATATCGAGAATGACTCGGCGGAAGTTATGAAGTCTATCGACCAAGGTGGAGCCCTGAACAATCTGTTAGAAGTTGCCCTTCTAGATATTGTCCCAACAGTGGCTGATTTGGCTATTGCATGCGTTGTTTTCTATTTAAAGTTCAACGTCTACGCCTCCCTTTTGGTGGTGATAGTATCTATTGCTTACGTCGCTGCAGAGGTCTTCACCTCTAACTGGAACATGGATGCCAGACGTGAAGTCACACAGACACAGCGAAACGAAACTCGCATTATGCACCAGGCCGTGCAAGGCTGGCAGACTGTCACATACTTCAACCAGTTCTCGTACGAGAGGTCTCGCTTTGGAGAAGCAGTCGACCTATGCTTGGATGCCAGCGCCCGTTTCGGTCGACGCCGAGCAGTCGGCAAGTCACTCCTAGATTTACTGAAGCCAATTTGCTTCGTTGGTCTCTCCTCGCTTATTGTACACGAGATCTCTGTGGGACGTTCCTCTACGGGAGACTTTGTCTTCTTCATTCAGTATTGGTCTTCACTTATCTCTCCGTTGGCCTATCTTTCCGCGCAATATCGCTGGTTAGTCTCTGATCTAGTTGATGCCGAGCGTCTACTCTTCCTATTCCAATCTAAGCCCAGCGTCAATGACAAGGAGTATGCTATGCCACTGAAACCTGGAAATGGTCGTGTTTCATTCCACCATGTTGATTTTGCCTATGATTCTCGATTAAAGACCCTTAAGGATGTGGATATTTCTATCGAACCCGGGACCACAGTTGCACTAGTCGGTATGACTGGTTCAGGAAAGACAACAATTCTTAGACTTCTTCTCCGACTTTACGACGTCACTTCGGGCCAAATCGAGATTGACGGCCAAGACATCCGTGACATAACCCTCAGCTCGCTACGCCAGACCATCGGCGTCGTTCCACAAGATCCTGTCCTATTTAACGCGTCTATCATCGAGAATCTGCGATATGCCCGGCCCTCGGCCTCAGATGAAGAGGTCCGCGAAGCATGTCGCGCGGCAGCTATTCACGACAAAATTCTCACTTTCGTGGACGGATACAACACCACAGTCGGAGAACAGGGTGTCAAGTTGTCTGGTGGCGAACTACAACGCATAGCCATTGCTCGGGTTTTCCTAAAGAAGTCTCCGATTCTCCTGCTGGATGAAGCAACGAGCGCCGTAGATTCGAACACGGAATCAGATATCCAGGTTGCGTTGGATCGATTGAGAGCCAAGCGAACTACGTTTGTCATTGCGCATCGACTTTCAACTATTTCCAGCGCTGATCGAATCCTTGTTGTGCATGAGGGACGGGTTGTTGAGAGCGGGTCACATCAAGAGCTGCTGAAGAAGGAGGGTGGAAGATATCAGAACCTGTGGCAGAATCAGTTTGGGGGTATCAAAGGTGGAAAGCCTGCGCTGTAAGCGAGAAAACTGGAATGATTATGACGAGGCTGGGAAGATAATTTAAAAAGCAACTAATGAAATTGACAGTTCTAATATGCTTGAGTTTTAATCTTACATACAGTCTGTACCCGGAGATCTACGACGTATAGAACCATATCCGATCAAAGACTGAGTCGGACGTGTCACCCCCATTGTGATAGAGGCGCGAGTTCACCCTCGTCATCTAATACCTATATAAGCTGCACTTTGGAGAGATGTCGTGTAATCAACTGTGTTATATGAGTCTAATATAGCTAGAAACTAATGGATGGATCCAAACACAACTATGATATATATCGGCCTTTGTTGTAGCTAAGAGGATGGCATTTCAAGTACTAATGAGATAATGTTAGACACCGATATATATCTCATCTAGCCCTCATACTACTGGTATGAAAAACAGCCATCTTTGAAGCGCGGGTTTATAACCAAAGCCGAGGGTCACTTGAACTTTATGACGGAAATCATGTGTGGGATTTGGGTGCGCATTCGCCTCTTTGGTCATGTCATACGTTATACACAAGTTAGGTATATACAAGTACCCAGGTAGGTACTACTAGTACCTCTGACATCATCTTAGCAATTGAGAATAAATACAACTACGCAATTTAGTGGACTGAATTTGAGTATTCTATGACAAAACTTTCATCTTCAAGTTCATTGCCTCATGTGTCAGGCATTAAACACAGTAGATATCTGTTGACCAACCAATCGCCGTCTATTTGCCCTTGTTTTGGGATACTTCGGACAACGCAATCTCATTGAACAAAAAGTAAATTTGAGCACCAAGCGGGAAAAGAAAAAGAGTGAGCCACCCCTTTCTACTTGGTTTCCATTGCCCCCTTCTTTTTTTTTTTCTGTCCAAGTGACCTTGGACGGATGAGTACGGACAATGGAGTGGATAATGATCATCTTAATTTTCATGTCGATCGACACAACAGCGTATAGCTTGTTGGACTCTTATGAGGTCGTGTTTGAAGTGGGTACGAACATAGGGCTTTGCGAGCCCAACGAGTCCAGAGCCCCTTAAAAAGACCCCTCTTACAACGTCGTGACATGTTCGCCTTATGCCAACACATAGATAACAGAATGTGTCCACTCTGATGCGCTATAAGGCTGGTAATATACTGCGTACAAATGTGAACAACATGGAATGACTCACCGTTCCTCACCGTTCCTCCCCGGACTCTATTCCCAACACAGTAGGCCCGAGCGGTGATCGTTCGTTCCTGAATGGAACTACGGAAGCCGATCCATAGAGCCTTAATGGAGTATATTTTGTACGGAGTAAGAAGAAAAAGTCTTTTCTCAATAGTGTGGGAACCGGGCAAATTGAGGCAAATTTCAATATCGGCTAACGGGGGGAACCATCGGAATCACCTTTTAAGGCAAGTAAGACGTAAGATCAAGATCCAAACTATGTTGTAAATTCTTCATGAACGGTTATTGTGTTCAAGATCAAGCGAATCACCGATCGTTGTTCCTGCGCATGATGCCAGGGGGTCCGGAATAGACGGAAGTCCCCGCGAGGGAGTGAGCACTTGCAGTAGTGTCTGATGCCCAGCGAGAATCGTCATTCTCTCACTCTAGGGGTAATAAGACCAAACCGCAAAACAGCAAAGTAGGTAAAATTAGCCAGTTCAAGCCAAGTACGGAGTCAGCAAAGGCGCGTTTGGAAACACCCCGAGACTAAAACGGTTTCGCAATTGTTGAATGAGGCAATTCCCTAAACTAGGATTGGGAAATGCCGAAATTACACCATATGGAGTATAGGTAGGCGAAGACTTCTCGTATTAACTGGACACGGGGCTACGGGGCCAAGTGAAGGCAAATCCTCGGGTTTTTACGAGATCAACGAGCGGAGTGGCAATAAGTACGAATTACTCCGTACTCCGTATGTCTCATGTTGTATGAATTGCCATTAAACACATATGAATAAATCAACTTAACCCCCTGGCGTCAAGAGTCTGTGCGGAAGACCCTTTGGTTTTTAGGGCTGCGATTGTCATAGTTCGGTCTGAGATGGAGCCCAATCTTGGATAGCGCCAGGGTCCGCGTGTTCAAGGGGCCAATAGGAGCATCATATTTCCACTTGAAAATCAATAATAATATAAGAAACCAAGGAAAAACAACAACATAGCGCCACGAGATTTCTTTGATGGACGAATGGTTCTTTTTCCCCAGGATCGAGGCGTGCTCGTGCCTTATTAAGCCTGGGCATGCCACAACCCTGGTAAAATTTCCTTTTCTCTTAGGCGCATTAGAGATTTCTCGCATACACACTCGTTTCACCAGCCACTCATTTTATACTGTTTGAGCAGTGCTCCATACACTCTTTCTATTCAATTTTCTTTGACGCTCACTCTTTTTGCGATCAAATCTGAAACATATCTGTGCCATCCCAAGTACTCATACTTCGAGTCGCATCAACGTTTCACCTTGAATCTTGAATCTTGAATTCAATTCAATCACCTTGCTCCCTCTTCCATATTGATATTCAATTCACTCGCAAAATGAAGTTCACTACTGTCATCGCCTCCCTCTGCCTGGTCGCGGCTCCATTCGTCGCCGCAGAGGATATCACTACTTCAACTGCAACTATGACCATCACCAAGACTCTGGTTCGTGTCAATTCGGTGACCCCAACTCCCAGCTCCAGCGCAAGCTCCATCGCGAGTTCTAGCGCGAGTGCCAGCTCGAGCAACCTGATCACCTCTGTTTCGACGTCGATTCCTTTGTCTCGCGCGTCCTCCACTACTTCTGCTGCCGCAGCCGCTACTTCCACCGGCGCAGCCGCCAACATTGGCGCTGGCATGCCAGCTGCCTTGGCCGCCGCTGGCTATATTGTTGTGATGGTGGGCCAGGCCCTGTAATCACATTCGCGATGTCGCGACTCCTTCGACAAGAAACCGTCACGCAGGCAACGATCATGAATTGGCGCCATCGGCCAATACTGCGCCCAATTCATACTGCATGACTGCTGCCCTTGTTGATTACCGTTCATCTCCAGCAGAGCCGGGATCTTTCTTTCTTTTTTTTCCCCCTTATACTTTTAACATTTTTATTCCTCTCGGTTTGGCTGAAGAACCCATCTTTGGAGAGGAAACGGTTTAACGCTTTTTCAAATACCCCCATTTCTTTTTTTTATTTCTTTCATGATCTTTTGGACCGATATGAGTTGATGCTGTTATTATTCTCTTCTTAACACCCTTTTTATTCAATTCGTTTGTCCATATACCTTGTCGTGGGTGACTTACTAGTCGGACTGGTCTAGTTGATATCTAGGACTTCGATGAGTCTGCTTTGAGTCATCTACAGAATATAGACACTTTATTTCTTCTCTCCTTTGATACCAATTCCAGCTCTAAACACCAGTAATAGCAATGTACCTTAAAAGATAGAGAAGATCATGTCGATCCAACATTCCAGTGGGGAAGCCGTGAGCTCCGGGGTCAACTGATATGCCCGTGCACGTGTGATCTGATCTTATCTTTTGATCTGATCTTTTTCCATTCCAACCGGGCATGCAGTTGGTTTTCTGTTCTAAAATATAAGAGACCTCTCAATTGATTCCAAATCCTAAACCCTTATCTCCCCCAATCGCGCCATTAGCGCGTTTGTTGACACCCGCAGCTCTCCATCGCGGGTCTCCACAACGCGTCGCGCAACCCCCCAAACATCAGATAAAACCCCGTGTTTGAATAGAAACCCAATGGTCCAGGCCGACAATCACAAGAGCCTCGTCTGAACCCGCGAACCGAAATCGCAAATGGACAGCGAGATCCCCCTCCCACCGCCGCGGCGAATCCGGCACCGCTCGCCCGCGACCGCGAACCCCTCAGCGACAGGAATAGCGGTATCCTCGTTCCAGCGCGCACAGCGACTGTCGCGCTTTGATGACCGCTCTAGTCAGCCATCCAGTGATCCGGCGCTCTTCTCCAGTGACGATATCCCGGCTTCCGGGCTGGAGAACTACCATGCGACGGTGTCGGGCGCAGGCCGGAAACGGCGGTATAGGGGGACATGGTGGGGGGAGCAGGTATTAGATCCGAAGCGGAAAAGGGCGGACTTCAAGAATAAGAGGAATGTTGATAGTGGTGTGTGGATGGGGAGTGATGAGTCTGGTGCTGAGTCGCTTTTGCCGTCGGAGGATGGCTCGGCGTGGGGGGAAGACTTGCGCAAGTCTGTGCTTGATCCTAGAAAACCTGGAAGCTCTACACCTTTCTTTACTGAGACGGAGAACATGCCTGCACAAACTCGTGTTGCGTTTAGTAGCCCCGAGGAGTCCGATGCTCACCGGTTCGCGCGGGAGGTTGTCAGTGATTGTCTTGATAAGGGACATGAGAGTATTGATCTGGGGTATGTGCTAATTGCCTTTTCATCTGATGTTTTGGTTTCATCTGATATCCGATTTGCCTGAGCCAATGATCCTAATTGCTCTTTTCTACACAGCGACTTCCATCTGGGAACTATACCAGCCGGTCTCCTACGACCTCTACAACACCTAACGAAGCTTCCATCAGTCAGAGAAGCCCCAGTTTCAGAGAACGTCTTCACATCCCTGCAGCCATTCCTCAGCATATACCTCCCCAACAACTCCCTCTCGGCCCTACACAACGATATTTTCGAGCTCACCAACCTCAAAGTCCTCAGCCTGCGAAACAATAAGCTGACCGAAGTCCCATCTACAATCCGCAGACTGACGGGACTGGAAGTCTTAAACCTCTCCGTCAACCAGCTAGCCTGCCTTCCCTGGGAACTCCTCAAACTCATGCAACAAGGCGAACTGAAACACCTAACCGTCCGCCCTAACCCATTCCTCCCAATCGAAGAAGCGCAGATCGCAGAATGGCACTACAAACCAACCAATAAAAAGGAAACAGAAAACGACGAGGATGCGTCTCCTCCACTCCAATTCCAAGATCAGGAATCTTCACTTGACGAGGGCTGGATCCCTCTCCACGTCGCAACAGGCCCAATCACCTACATGGACATGGAGGGCAATCCCATGGGAGACAGTCCATCCCGCAACAGACTCGCTCTCACACTACCAGGACCGCCATCTCCTGTAAACTACGCCCCGTCCCTGCGCGAAGTCGCGCTCCGCGCTGTGAGCAAGCTCCCCTACCTGGAGCAAACCACCGATGAAGAGCTAGCTGAGTATCCGGCGCTGATTGTGCCCTTGCTGCAACGGGCGAGGGAAGTGCGCGCCGCGGGTGGACAGCCCTGCTCTGTATGCCAGCGAGAATACGTGATTCCCCGCGCTGAATGGATGGAGTGGTGGGACTTTACACCATGTGAGAATGGGATGAAGATGCCTCGTTGTCCCGGTGAGAAGCTAAGGCCATTGCCGTTCCGGCGATTTGGTTGTAGCTTGTCGTGTGTGCCGAGGACGTGTTGAATACTGCATTGACTTTTTGCTTTTTTGGGTGATGGGTTGCTTTCTTTTCTTTCCTTTTTTTTTCGGGATTCACTTTGTATGTATTTGGTTTGTATGTTCATACGGATTGTGGTGCTGGGACCTTGTATTTTAGTTACTTGTAGAAATTATGACATCTTCGGTATATTTCCAAGGTTGCTACTTTGTCCTCCAAGTTCCTCGTACTCTGTAAATAGGCTGAGATGACTTGGATATGATGTTTGTCCACTATGTATCGGAGGAAAGCATAAGTCCTTTTATCTACCGGGGTTAGACCATAAATCCTTCGTGAAATGAACCATATCCCCCGGAGCTAGTAATAAGCATGAGAGCTGGGCCGCACAGACTGTATTAACTCCGTTACCGCTGCCCTAAGTCCGAGGCATGCAATAGCAAGAACCAATATAAAAGAGCCATGTTACTCTGAGATTATATCACTTAATTTCTTGCAAATAAACATTACGACACAAATTCAAATATTTACCACCATAATCCATAATCCAACACCCGCCACAAACCACAAACCACAAACCACAAACCACAAACCACAAACCACAAACCACAAACCACAAACCACAAACCACAAACCACAAACCACAAACCACAAACCACAAACCACAAACCACAAACCACAAACCACAAACCACAAACCACAAACCACAAACCACAAACCACAAACCACAAACCACAAACCACAAACCACAAACCACAAACCACAAACCACAAACCACAAACCACAAACCACAAACCACAAACCACAAACCACAAACCACAAACCACAAACCACAAACCACAAACCACAAACCACAAACCACAAACCACAAACCACAAACCACAAACCACAAACCACAAACCACAAACCACAAACCACAAACCACAAACCACAAACCACAAACCACAAACCACAAACCACAAACCACAAACCACAAACCACAAACCACAAACCACAAACCACAAACCACAAACCACAAACCACAAACCACAAACCACAAACCACAAACCACAAACCACAAACCACAAACCACAAACCACAAACCACAAACCACAAACCACAAACCACAAACCACAAACCACAAACCACAAACCACAAACCACAAACCACCAACCACCATGGCTACCCAAGCACCAGCCATGACTACACAAACCGCAACCTTCACTAAACCCAACCGCCCCCTAACCTGGCTAATAACAGGCTGTTCCTCAGGCCTGGGTCTCTCACTAGCACGCACTGCGCAATCAAACGGCCACAAAGTAATCGCCACATCCCGACAACCCTCTCGCACCCCAGAGCTAGTCTCAGAGATAACCCAAAACGGCGGCGAATGGCACACACTAGACGTCGACAGTCCAACCGCAGCATCTGAGCTAGTATCCAAGCTCGAGTCTGCAGGGCACTATATTGATGTACTTGTCAATAATGCCGGATACGCGATCCTCGGGGCAGTAGAGCAGTTCTCGGACGAGGAGCTGCGGTCCCAGATGGAGACTGTGTATTTTGGACCGAGTCGACTGCTTAGAGCGGTTGTGCCTAGGATGAGGGAGAGGCGGTTTGGAGTTATTGTTAATGTTAGTTCGGGGGCTGGGTTGGAGGGGAGGGAGAGTATGGGTGCTTATGCGGCGGCGAAGGCTGCTATGGATGGTATGTTTTTGTTTTGCTCTTCTTCTGAGGGATGTCTTGTTTATGTACTCGGTATTAATGTGTATATCATGCAGGTCTATGCAAAGTGCTCGCTAAAGAAGTCGCGCCCTTCAACGTTCGCCTCCTGACGGTGTGGTTGGGAGTGTTCAACACGCAGTTCGGGACTGGCTGTCGGTCTCCTGCTAACCCTTTGCCGGTGGACTATTCTGGCTCTGTGGCTGCGAAGACGCTGGATGTTCTATTGACTGGTAAGCTTGTTGCTGATGGCGACAAGGATAAGGCTGCCAAGGCGATGTATGAAGTTGTCGTTGGTGAGGGCGTTGGTGTTGGGCATGAGAGCGAGGGATTCTTGCCTTTGGGTCGGGATATGATTCCTCGCGTTGAATTGGTGCGTGATCGGTTGGTTCATGCGCTTGATGTGTTTGGGGATACTGCTGGGAATGTCTATGTTGACAAGGAATGAGGCTTTGCGCCTGGACATTTTGAATCGAGATGTAGTTTGAACAGCTTCGAGTACTATCTACTATGAGTACAGCTACAGAGAACCGTGTTTATATGCGGTTATTTGGTGTCAATGGATCAAAGGGTCATCGCATAGCAATAGTGTTAATGACAACTAAGTGTCAATGGAATCCATTCAGATATCCATTCTACCAAAATAACATAAGAACACACAAGATTTGAACGATTGGCCCGCGGTATATCCTAGCAGCTTCGACAACGCTTGCAGGCACGTTGCAACCGCCCAGCACGCCGAACTGTTCGCACCCAACGCCAAGCAGATTCAAACCATAAGAAACTCCAAACGCTAATACATCATGCTTCAATACAAGGAGAGCAAATCCCAAAAGACGGAGGGGGGAATGGTTAAAAAAAAAGGAAAATCAAAAAGAGTGATAGAGTATAAACGTTAGCGATTACGGTCTGCTCGGGCCTGGTGCCATATGGTATCACCACTTAAAGCAGAAAAGCTAAGGGTGGCTAGGTTTCGCCAACTTGACTGCGGAGCAGAATTTGCATGGTCGCCAAGTAGACCTGCATTCTGTTCTGTATCTGAATCATCGTCATTGGCGCCTTCAATTAGTACTGGAGCGGAAGATGCGCTGCCTCGGGAGACCGAGTGGGCGGAGTGAACGTCATCATCGGACTGCTCACGGTGACTCCGAGAATCGCTGGACTGACAATGAGCCAACGAACGGACAACATCGCCTTTGCAGATTGGACACGTTCGTCGACGAGTAGTCAACCAGGGGGTACTAAGAAAAGAGGTTAGTAAACCATCCAAACAAAGGGCAGATTCTTTTCATGTCACTTACATGCATTCCACGTGGAACTCATGGCCACATGGCAAGCTCATAACCCGGCTCTGACCATCGATATATTCTTCTAGACAAACAACGCACTCCACCTGCCTTCCTGTGTACTTGCGTCGCCACAAGGTAGATCCGCTTTGCGGGTTGCACTTCTCTTCCTTGGGCATGGCAGATGAATCTAGCATAGTGCCCGAGAATGTTTGTGAACGTGATCTGTTTGATCGGGATGCACTTGGCCGGCTTTCATTGCCAAGGAGTGGGGAACTCGGGGAGAGAGGACCAGGACTAGGGGGGCGTGTTGAGTTGGAAGACGAGGAAGAAGTAGTAGTAATTGTGTGGTAGGTTCGGACAGGAAGTCGCTCGATAACCGACTTCGGGGCACGCCATCGACGACGACGGATTCGAGATCGGAGCAACAAAAGGGCATAAACCACCGTCAGTGTGAGCAAGGGACTGACGACAAGGACCAATAGAGTATCGAAAAAGGGGCTGGTGGACATGCTGGTAGGTGTCATGGTAACCCAAAGACCTTCATGCTCGGAAGGCTCCGCGCCTAGACCGCTCGATGTGTGAGGGTTATTTTTCATTTGCTGGCTTGGTGCAGTGCTTTTCTGAAGGGAAGGCGACGAAGAAGGCTGAGGGTCTTTCTGAGTATCATCTCCCCATCCAAAGTGACTTGAGAACCAGCCCTTCGTAGAAGATCCAGACTTCCCATGAGTTCCGACGGATTCTTTCTCAGACCCCTTAAGGCGTGTGTCATGAGAACCAGCACTGGATTTGTCGACACTCTGGTATTCTCCACTTCCTGGTGTGATACTGCCACCCTGGAGGCCATTGGGCGAGGAAGCAGCGTCTTTATCCGCGCTGGTAGTCTTAGCGGTATCCTTGCCAGGTACAGAGGTGCTAGCTGCCGGGGGTGTGCTACTCTTAGGAGGCATCAAATCGGGATCTCTCCAGTCTTGCACACCGATGACAAAGTCATCATCCTCAAAACTTTCTGGGGACATGTCGGCCTTGTGGCTGTCGAATGCGTCGTCTACCTTCGCCCGACTACGATGATTGAGATCAGTTGGTTTCCTCCAAGCGCTCGACGGAGCTTCTTTTTCATCCCGTGAGCCTAGGTCGATCCAGTCAATGTTGCCGCTGCTGGGCGGACGTCGGCTGTCTTCTAGATGCCGCGAACCTCCGTTCTTATCGCATAATCCCAGGAATGCACCGATTGCACGGAAGAAGCCGCCTCTCGAGTGAGATGAGGGTGCAGGTCTTTCCTTGGCAGTCAAATGGCTGCTAGCAGTTGGACTTGGAATAGTTGTTGCTGTAGTAGTTGCCACCCGTTCTTTGTTGGCATCAGCCTGTCCTGCCAGTTTCCCTTGTGACGATTTTAACACATCTCCCAAAATGGCAGTTCCACCGGCATGTCCGGGAACCAATGAGGATAAAAGATGAGCAGTAGTGTGGGATGTGAACAATGCCGGGATCGTGACGTTCGATGTATCGCCTCGTGCGTACATAGTGACCAAGTTGCCACCTCGAGTATCGTCGCCGACAATCAAAGCGACCCCTCCTCGTCGTTGCGCCCATTTAGCCTTTTCCAAAAACCCACAGCCACCCCGACTCAACAGTACCACCTTACCCTGGATTTCGGCAGTTTCCTGTAAAGATTGGATGTCGGCATGGGCAGGCGGCTTGGTTGGGACGTAATCTCCATACTTCTGACTCATCCCGGGGTGGGAAGCACCAGAGTCAGGGAATGGATGATGTAGATGATCGTCGGTGCCATCGTTCGTCAAGGGCGGAGTGGTTGAATCATCCCTATCGTTCTGAGGTGTAGTATCGGCCTGCGACACTGACCGCGGGCGGTTTGATGATTGATCATTCACTGTACTAACTCCGGAGATGCCAATAGTCTGGTCCACGCTCCTGGGGGGTTTGTCTTGTTTCTTATGATTGGTGCCCTCACCCCAGCCGGGAATATCGGAGCAGCCTAGTTCCCCTTCCACACCACCAGCTAATCCACCCTCACCAAAGCCACTTCCCACCCATAACTGACCGCTGAGCCCTTTGGTTGGCAGCAGCGGACCAAATGCCGCCGGCCGGGCGAGGAAGAAGGTTGAGTTGTCGTCGGTGAGACTGATAATGGCCGACGGAGGGAAAAGGGACGACGGTATGTTGAAAGAAAACAAAGCGCGCAGCCCAGTTGTCTGACTAGCGAGGGTATTGGGAGTTGCTACATCGGGCGATGTAAGCGCGGAAAAGAAGGTGAGGAGAATCGGGAAGAAGATAAGGCAGAAGAGGACGACGAGCAGACGTGGTGGTCGCATGTCTCTGATGGATGGTTTTAACCACTTTAATCAAAGGGTGGCTTGACCAGAGATATCTAATCACAGAAAAATGGGGTGGATCGAGTGAATAATTGACGATGCCAGCGGCTCCGCTGTACCACAATACTTCGGGTGGACTCTTTATGACCAATCCAATAGTTGGCGGCAAGCTTGCAGGCGGCCACTCATCGAGCGCAATGAGCAGCACTACGGCTGGTTGAAGAAAGTCGACAGATTACAGCCAACGCGAGTGCAAGGGAAGTCAAAGCAATAAGCAACAAGACAAGATAGAAAGCCAGAGGGGAGTTCGAGTGAAGTCAGTCAGGTGGAGAAGGGGAAGTGAACTCATGATGTGGATTAGCTAACCCCGGGTCGGTGACGGCATGCCCGCCGTGTCATGTGCTGTACGCCTGAGGCATAACACTGGCCTTGCTCCTCAAATCACATGATCTTCATAAGTATATCATACAATATTGAGGAAACAACCTTGGAATGACAGAAATAGTAGAGATTGATGCTATAGTGGCTTGTTTAATCACTTGTATCCTTTTCATTTATAGCACCGGGTACTTTCAAGGTTGAAAGATGTAACATATGTTGAAAAAAAAATAAAATAAAATAAAAACTTCAAGTATTGTGAGAGAATTTGACAAGAAACTAAAAATCTGTACATTGATATCACAGCATATTGACAAGATGGCATAATGCATATTTTTCTTGGCCCTCTTCTGGATCTCGCAATACTTCGTAGCTGTGATATAGATCAAAATTTGATACCTGTTCCAAGGTTCTCGAGCTGCCACCGCTGATCATGCCATCACTGCTAGGCAACTACGTAATCCACCGCCTTTTCGAATCATTTTTTTGTCAATGTACACATACCTAAGTTTTAGACTGTACCTTGTAGTACAGATAGAACCCTCTAGTCCATTCTCCATTGCACAATATTTGATATTATATCAAGGCACACCCGTGGAGATATTTTTGGACTTGACGATCGATAAAGCTTGCCCCACCTACCGTACATGGATTAGCGTGAGGATTTATCCCCGGAGCATCTATGACGTAGATGGACTAAAACGGGACTAGCGCATATTGGAGGAATCATTCTAGAATCTCTTTGTCTACCTTATAGATGTCTACTACGGCTTCGATGAATAAAGAATACACAAATAACACCACTGACCCTTCTTATGAGGTCATTAAATCAATCGATAGCTAAGCTTCCATTACCCATGGCATAACAATGCCAAACTCGGAGAATTATTGGCACGAAATTGTGAAAACCCACTTAATATGAAATCCCAGTCGGCGTGTGGCCGTGCGGATCTACAATGTATCCTTGCAAGATTTGATTAAGTGGCGTGCTTGGTCTTGTAGATCCGGGACATGACGATGGATGACATTGATAGGTCTCCTCATTTTCAGCCAAGAACATCTGTCTGTATGTGTAAACCCGTTTGGGACGTCATGACAGCTGTAAACGGGAGAGTCAAAGAGCTCTGATCCATGTTTCACTAAGAATTGTACTCGTCTAACCCCCGCGTTATGGCGTCACTTAGTCTCCGCAAGTAGAGATCTACTCATGATCTAAGCAAGACAAGCAAAGACAGTAAAGCATATAAACTCGCTACTGGAAGCACTTTTAAATCTACTTTTTAATAACAAAACAATCTTCTGACTCAAACAATCTATTCAACCATCAAAATAAAATATTTCCAAATCTTTTACTTTACCACCACAGCATATTACCACCCATCATGTCGAACATTATTCACAAAGTCAAGGATGCTGTGACCGGTCATCATCACGATGAGTCCAAGACAACCAGCAGCAAGGTTGATGGTTCGTTGTTCCTAAAAATGCATTGCTTTTAATGCGATACTAACAATTCATTCATGTAGATGCCCGCGATACTTACGGATCCTCGCACAACACCACGGACAACGCTCCTAGCAAACACACTTCTACCAACACAGGCTCCAACGCTTATGGTGCTGGCTCTGGAGCCGGTTATAATACCTCTTCCACTACCGGTGCTGGAGGCTACGGCAGTGGCACTGGCACTGGCACAGGTGGCCTAAACTCTGGCTCCGGCTACGAGACAGGTACCTCGACTGGAGCTGGAGGCTACGGCACTGGGACTGTCCATGACTCCCGCAAGGGTCCAATTGATGTCGGCTCAGGAACAGCTGGGAACTACGGATCCAACACCGCTGGCGGATATGGCTCATCCAACACTGGCTCCAGCACCACCAATGCTGGCCCCCATGACTCTAAGCTAGCCAACAAGCTTGATCCCCGCGTCGACAGTGATCTCGGTAAGTTAAGCTTGTTCTTAACTACCCATCCAAAAAACTATATCACTAGTCAGACATCTAACATGATATTCTAATGCAGACAACCGAGGAAAGCACTCTGGAACTACTGGCTCCAGCAACACCTACGGCAGCAATACCGGCCGCTCTACCGGAGAGACTGGTTATGGCTCCAATGACACATACGGCAGCACAACTGGCCACTCTTCTGGACAGACCGGCTACGGTTCCAGCAACCCCGTATCTGGAAGCACCGGTCACTCCACCGGACAGTCTGGCTATGGCTCGAGCAAGCCCCTCTCCGGTAGTGACACTTATGGTAGCTCCACCGGGCAGACCGGTTATGGCTCGAGCAAGCCCCTCTCCGGTAGTGACACTTATGGTAGCTCCACCGGGCAGACCGGTTATGGCTCCAGCAACCCCCTGACTGGTGGCACCTCCGGTCACTCTGCTGGACAAACCGGCTATGGCTCGAGTGACACATACGGCAGCACCACTGGACAAACTGGTTATAGCTCCAGCAACCCGCTGACTGGCGGTACTTCGGGTCACTCTTCTGGGCAGACTGGCTACGGCTCCAGCAAGCCTCTGTCCGGTAGCGACAACTATGGTAGCTCTACCGGCCACTCCACTGGACAGTCAGGCTATGGTTCTGGCAACCCTGTGTCTGCAGGCGACAACTACGGCAGCAACACTGGCCGCTCCACTGGACAGTCGGGTTATAGCGCCAACGACTCCTACGGAGCCAGTGGTGGCAGCAGCTACAACGACCAAACCTCAAAGGCTGGAAAGACTTCTGGTCCCCACAGCTCTGACCTATTGAACAAGCTTGACCCCAGAGTTGATGAGAAGCAGTCGTTCGGCAGCCAGCGCAACTACTAGGCGATTTACGAGTGTGATGTTTTGAATTTTTTCTAGGCTGTATTCCTAGCTATTTTTAGTATCTTACGAGAATGACCCAACAATATCAATATCCTCTTTTTCTGTTTCATCTCTCTGCCTTGCATAAATGTCAATCCAAGTTAGCCAGGATAAATATCTGGAAGAGATTTTTCCAAAAACACTCTGCTCATCCTTCGTATTTATAACTTTCTTTTTGATGTGTATAAACAAAGAACTTGTAATTCGACAAGTGTTTTTTTTTAGCATCTCTTGTGCCCATATGTTTCTTTTGGTTGGCAATGTTAGGCATTACTTCCTGCAGAGGTACGCACGTGACCACCTTTGCCCTCAATTGTCTCTTCCCAACATAGTCTCAAGGCCATACATCAAATGATATAAATGAAAAGTTCTTTCTGAGTATGTGATATCCACTTATCCTCCTCCGTTCTCCTCTGGACTATGGTGTATTGTGTTGTATACCAATGGACAAGGAGAAAAGATATATTACGGGAGACATCAGGCAACAACATATTGTAGATATAAATTATAATAGCTTCAATATCATTTCTGACCCAGTTGAGTTTTTAGATTGTTCGAGTCTTCCAGTCAGTCCGTTATGGCTAAGGATATAGGCTACATACTCCACTAATACTCTAACGCTGCCCAGGTGGAGTGATCAACTGCATTAAGTACAAGATTCTTTATGGATTCACACGAAAATTGTCGGTAGTCACCACCAAGCATAGGAAGAAGAATGAAACCAAGTCCTGCTATCATTCAAAGCAGGACAGCTTCTATTGCTCTGTACCCACTTCGCTAAAGTGAGCCAAGCACGAGCATTCCAAACATTATGCTACGTTCTTCCCTTTGACAATAAAAACTAGCACCAATTACCACAAAAATTCGTGCTTAATATCGAAGGTAGAGAAGATAAGAAGGGCAAAAAGAGGTTCATAGACCCGAAGATGGGTACACTGTCTCACATGAAGTAGAAGAATAGAGGAATCGTCACGAATATCAAAGGGTAGTGAAGCATCCCTCAGGGAACAAAGTCCGACAACGCAGAGCCATCAATGTATGGTTGATCAAGTCAATCGCCAAGACGCCGTGCAGATTTGTTCGTCGGGTATGCGGATGCATATTACAGAAGGGGTAATATTAGGACAAGAGAAAGAAATAATGCCATGAAGGTCACCACACGAAGGTATCATGAATTTCGGAGCTGAGTTGCAATTAGCAGGACACGAGGTTTACATGATGGTCATTCAATGCGGCGCAGGCAAGCACAGTCCGGTGGGGATGGAAGGCAGTGCTGGCAATGGGCGAGGATCGGTTGTGATGAAGGAAGCTCGAGTATGGCTCGAACGTAGAAAGATAGGTGCCGTCCACATTAAAAGTCTTGACTTCGTGGCGATTTGTACCCCTGTGTCATGTTAGCATGAACAAACAAAATATTAAGTAATGCGGCGGAGGAAACGTACATGCTGAAGACAGGAGCGTGCTCGTGAACACTCAAAGTCCGCAGGGTATCTTTGGTAGCATAGATGGTGGAGATAGGGCTATCCATGCGAAGATCCCAAAGTCGGACTTCACCATTGCGGCCACCCGATATCAGTTCTCGTAGACCACCACGCTGCATATGGACATTTGTGATCCATTGCTTGTGCTCACGCCAGACTTTGACCATGGATGTGGTTGGCTTTAACCGTTGATCAAAGACCCGGACAGCACCGTCACCGAAACCGGCGACGAAGATGTTGCCCGCTACTTGGTCAGATGTCAAGGATGTGATGCAGGAACCCGATCGTGCCGGAATGTCCTATTATTCGACTTTTGTGAGTAACAGGATATATCTGTGAGACTAGACATTGAAGACTTACGTTTGTGCACACCTCGGTAGCAGCGTTCCAGACACGGATAACCTTGACATCACCTGCAACCAGAGCTTTGCCCTGACCTTGCTGCCAATCAAGCACGAGGCCTGCATTGCGATTGCTTGGAATTAGTTCGGGGAGGGCCCTGAAGGCTGTGACCACTTCGATGTTCTTATTATTTTCGTAGTGGCGGAAAAGTTTGATCACACCGTCAGAAGATCCAGTCATAAGTAGTGCCTGGTCGTCCTCATTGATGTATCGAACTTCGTTGATCTTTGACCCGACCGGGTTACCATTTGAGAATTGATTGAGGCGTTTATGGCTCTGCCAGTCCCAAATTCTATAAGAAACCAATGGTTAGAAGAGCATGAAGAACAGGCGACTTGTTGGTACCCACGAAATTGTATCCCGGTCATCTGCGACAGCAAGGTGATCCTCGAATTGATGGAAGCACATCTTGTGGGGCTGGCTCCCATTCGATAGCAAAGCAACCGAATTATCCCACCGGCTCGCTCCAGCTTTTCCTTTTAGAGGTTGGGTCTCGGCGATGATCTTTTCGTTGCGGCCGCGTCTCCAGAGGCGCTGGTTGTAGTCGGAGCTACCCGGCTCATCTGGCTCGTTGGGTTTCATCTGGGGCTCCCGGAAATACTTAGAAATGGTGAGTAAATGTAGGTAATAATAAGTGTGGGACTCGAGGGATTCAAAATCCGGGATTACCTCAGTGGACCAGTCTAGGAATCTACTCTTCAGGGGGATAATCGGCACGACATCAAGGCCTTTGGCTTCGAACCCTCGGGATGTGGGAATCGGAGCCTGGTGGTATGCCGTTGCGGGAGCAACATGATCATTTACTTCCGGGGGTCGGGTCCACTCAGGAGGGGCCCGGCCGCGTGGGGTAATTGTCATACGGCTAGTTGAAGGCGAAGGCGGGTTTGAATTATCTGACGATAGGTCTCCTGTTGTTAAATTGCCAAAAGCAAGGTTCTTCAGGGAAGCAGCGACGCTAGCAGTTCGTCTAAAACCCAAGGAAAGGTAGCCTTCTTGTTTCGAGGCTACTGCTCCAGACATGGGAGGCGTTGAAGGTGGCGCAGTTTTCTTTGCCTCTATTCGCTCGCGAGGTTGGAGTTTCGTCAAGCCTGTTATTTCCAGAATCTCGTTCTGAAGCTTGTTAGTGAGTGGGGCCATTGGAGATTCCAACAAGGCAAGGTGGATGTAATCAACGATGACGGCGGCATCCTGGGCGATGTCAGGATGAGGGTCAACCGAGAGAGCCAACAGCTGCTTCCAGATAGTCCCGAAAGTCGTATTGCGAGACAGCTGGGGCATTTTCGCATGAGAAACTAGTACCCCATTTTGTCCCTCGGAGCGGCTAGTCTGAGAGTTTTCACTCTCCCAGCGATGAACGACGGACCGCTTTTCTTCCTCAAGCTCCTCAAATGCTGCGACCAAAAATTTGTTTTGGTGGCGTCTGACGAATGTCGAGAAGAATACTAAAAGCTCCTTTCTAACAACCACACTTCCATCGGCAGACATGGGCAAGACTGCCAGTGCTAATGTCTCCTCGATTTGTGCAACTTGGTCTGTCAGATCTGGAATTCCCAAGAACGTAGTCACAGCATGAAGCATGGCAGCGCGAACTTCGGGTACAGGGTCGAAATTCAACTCGCAGAGCCTAGCGGGGGCTGCACATCGAATGCCCATCCACTTCGCTTCGGGGAAATCGCACCATAGCATACTGAGACAGAGACAAGACCATTGCCGTAGCAGGGGATTTTCCACATCACCGAGATGTCTGAGGCATGAGTCAAACAACTCGCCAGAGAGGCAGACGTTCTGTCCCTGGGGGTAGTTTTTGCAGAAGATCGAGACTATGAAAGCACACATGGCCCTGTGTTCGCTGGCATTTCCCACAGGAATGGGCGAAGAAGGGTTCAGAATTGAGATAAAGTAGTGGATGCCGTTGTCTTTGAGTAGATCATTTTGTACAGTGTGGTCGACGGCCATGATTCTCGCCCAAATGAAAACCATAACGGGTTTCAATTCTTGCGCTGCTGATTGCAGCAACTTGACAACATAGGGGAAGATGCCAATGCTGAGTGCAAGGTGGACAGCCCATGGGCCGAGGTCCAGGAATTTGCTCAAGAGAATCAAGGCCCGCAAGCGGTGTGCCTGACTTAGGAGGACTTGAAGGACAATAGGGAGCTGATCTGGCGGATTCTTCTCCGTAGGACCGGACGAGAGATATACCTCAAAGGCAGTGAGTTGCTCAGCGAAGAAAGTTGAGTGTTGGTACTCGTACTGCCGGCGCCCTTCTTCTTGATCAATGAGAGCAGGTAGCTGAGATAACACCATTTCCACAGCAAGGTCCCAGCTTTTCCATAGAGGGTGATGGTGTGTGTCTGGCAATTCAGGCGAAGAGATCGGATGGCATTTGTATGTGCGCATGATGCGTTCGCTGAGCAAAAAATTGCGGAAAAGAGCGGCAACCATTAAATCCTGTCGGAAGAGCTTTTTGAACAAAGCCCGAGGTAAGGTGTTCCACGCAATCGTATCAGTAATTGCAGTGAATATCCAATTCAGTTCTCCCAGAGGGCTTCGACGATCTTGAAGTCGACCGGGAACTCGGAAGTCGTCGATTGAGATGTTTGTGCGTAAAGGGTTCTGCAAGATGAAAAAGCGCAAAGCGATTTCAATGGGTGTTGTCAAGCAACAGGTGAATAGGTCTGCAGGGAGGTCGGGATTGGTTGGAAGGGACTCCGTCTTCTGGCACGCGGCTAGAAGGATGCAGTCACCATAATTCTGAATGACGGCATTGGGATCTCGTTTCTTAGTTTCAATATTCTCTTTCTCATGCTTCTCCACAAAAGTATGGAAATTTTGGACAATGTTGCCAGCATGTGAAACATCAAAGACAAAAAGACTTGGCCCAGCTAGCCAAGACTGCAGATCATACAGTGGGACAGGAATATACTGGGTATAATTCTTGTTGAACACCCAGATTTCACCTGACTGAGTTGGCAACGGCACTCCGTGTCCATTGTAATGTAGAAGCACTCGCTCGTCCTTGGCATTTCGGCGAAGTGAGATGCAGAATTTCTTGGTCTCGTCAACTGATGGATCCAGATA